GCCTATATAGCTTTTACCCTCTTTCAAGCCTTGGGCTAGTTCGATCAAGTGAATGCTAGACCCTCCGAAGCCAGGGGCAAGAAGAAAACGAGCTAACATACATAAATAGAGGGCATGCTACCGAAAACCTTGCCAAAGACGGTTGTCGCGGTTGCCGGCATCATAAAACCGATGAATCAAGCTGGAAATGTCTAGTTCTCCATTGTAAACCAAGGATCGAGCCTCATTGTAGACACCCCATTTTTGACCGTCCTCAAGAATTGGATGTCACCGCTTGAACACTCGGTGATCATCCATGTTTGTGTTCGTCTTGAGTTCCCGGAGGTCTCGACTACGCGCCTTGCCTCAGGATCTCTCGACTCGACTGTTTTGTGTCTGGTTTTGCACCAAACACTTGTGCTTTGCCTTGGAGGGGCAGGGAATGGCTTGTGGGCCATCCCCACACTCCACCGGCCACGGCTTGAGGCCACCGGCTGTGTTTTGTTGCCACTGGCCAAATGCTTGGCCGGCCGGCTATCTTTTTTTGGTCAATTGCATTTTTGGCCGGCCGACTACTATGCATCTACTTTTGCAGATATTTTTGTGCAGCTGGCATACACTGTCACCCCCTCCATACACGTGTATGGAGGGATTGCCCTCTTATTAGCTTCCTTTGGAAGCTTTACATGACTAATTGTCTATAAAAGAGAACCTCTTCTCTCTTGTTCAGGGGTTCGACAACTTAGACAACATTTTCAGAGCTTAAGCTTTAGGGTTAGGGTTTACATATATCCTCTATCTCTATATCTCTCTCTCACTTGTGTTTAATGTGTGTTTAGTCTCATTTTTGTGCACAAACACCCACCATCACACCTTTTCTTAGTTGCTGAGGTACCAGAGGTCTTTTCTTGAAGCTTTTGGACTGGTTTGGAACCAAAAGAGCTGCTGGAACATTGTTTGTGAAGTGGGTCTACAAGGGTAAGCCTTTTGTCCCTTTTTACCCCATTTTTGCAAAGCTTTTTAGCCTATCTTGCATCTATTTTTGAGCTTAGCATATAACATATAAAAGTCTTGTTTTTGTCTGCTCTAAATAGTTTGTTAAGGGTGTTTTAAGCTTTGGGGTTGTTTGACCTCTCTTAAGGCTTGTTTGGCCTTTGTTTTGTGCCATTTTGGTTAAGCTCCGGGACCATTGTGTTTGGGCCTCCTCACCACTGAAATCTTGAGGAATTTCAGAGGTGAGGATGGTGCCTTGAGGTCCTAGGAAGGAGAGGGCCACCCCCTCTCCTTGTTGTCCTTGAAAAGGGCTATTTTTGCCTCTTGAGGGAGCATCTAGTTTAAGTATGTGTTGACCATGCCTTGACTGATATTTATGCTTTTTTTGCCATGAAATAGCATTGTGTTGAGTTGGTTTGGACACACCTTGCATGCTTTGCATACATGTCTTGTAATGCCATCATTTAGCCTTAACATGCATCTAGGTTTTGACCCTTGTTCAAGCATGTTTTAGGCCCTGCTTTGTGAAGCTTTTGTACTTGTTTTTCCATGCTTAAGGTCTTCCTTTAGTTGTTTTGGTCGACCATGGCATGCATTGCATAACCCCTTTACATTGTTTAGCTTGTAGACTTTAAATGTGTGAAGTGTTGAGCATGCATTGTTTGATTTATTTCAGTGGTTTGACACCACTTATAGCATCATTTCAGTCCTCATAACATGCTTGCATGCTTGCCTTTGATGCCTCTTTGATGCCTTATGAGGTTGTGCCTTATGCTCCATGTTTGGTCATTGTGCATGCACTTGAATTTAAGTCATTTAGATGCCATCTAAGTGGTCTTTAGGCTTTGTTTTAATATGCTAAAACTCTGTTTTTGGTCATTTAATTCATGCCATGTTTGGTTTTGCTAAGGGTAGTTCAATACCTCCTTAGCTTGCCTTGAGTTTTGGACGTCTAATTGCATGCTTATGCTTGTCTTGTTGGCTTGGTTTGGTACCATTTTAACATGATTTTCAGAGCTTATGTTGCATGTCATTAGTCCATGTTTTTGTGCTTGCAAGTTGTCTTCATATGCTTAAGTGTTGGACCATATTTGCATGCATGTGTGTGTGTGTGTTGGACCTCACTTCCATAGTTTTGGCCACCAATTTTGGCATACTTGAGAGCTGCCCATATTAGTTTAATTCCATCCTTTATGTGTCGTCACATGTTTACCTTGCGTGCTTGAATGACCATGTTGCATCTTGTATGCATGACTAGGTTGCATTACATTTGGAATACTTGTTACCTCAACATGCTTATGTTGCATTAGTCTTGCTTGCATGTTTGCATCCCATCCCTTTTGATCAAACATGATGGAGGTTGGGGCCCCTTTGTATGTTTTGTGTGCATTTCATTTTACATTGAAATTGCATACTTGGCCTTTTGGGCCACCATGCATCGAAATGCGCAATTGATGGCCCGAGGGTCGAGGACCATGCTCCCTTGAGTCCATAACATGATTGGGAGAGTGGCCATGCACACATTTTCTTGAAATGCATTTCCATGCTTTGTTTTGCCCTCTGTTGCTGTCAAAAACAGATTCTGCAGGAAGATTTGGCTGACTGGCCATTTGCAGTGCCGACTGGCCATCCATAAGTGGTCGATGGATTAATTTATGGTCAATGACCATTCCCCATGGCCGGTGACTATTTCTCACGGCCGGTGGTGCTCCACAGCACTCAGAGAAGCAACCTTGGGACTTGTGCAGTCTTCAGAGAAGCAGAACAGTCAAAGCAGAGACAGCTTGTGCATGGCAGTGACTTCCGAGCGGAATCGAGCACGCATCGCATTGGACCCTCTTCCCGAGGCTGTTTATTGCTTAAATTAGATTGATTAATTTGCTTAATTAATTAGGTGGTCTGTAATATTTAATTAGCTTGTTAGTTAGTTAAATTGTATTATTATTTCGGTCCCTCCGAGTGAGGGCTAACTTGTAATAAGTGTGGGTGTGTGTGTGCATGTCTTCCAATCCCCCACTTCTTTCTCCCTTTTACTTACCTTCTTTTGATGGTTAGTATTAGGGCATAATTAAATTAGCATATCTTATGCTATGCATGCGTGCATCCATACATTTGTCTTGCATGCACCGGGCTCGGGGCATCATACTAACTGCATTGTATTTCAATTCCAAGTTGAATACGTGTTAGTTGTAGCATCATCATATGTCATCCATAGATTAGCCGAGCCTATTGTAGCTGCATCTTGCATGTGTTGCATTAGCCATCTTAACATGAACTAGGATCATGCATATGATTACTAACTAGTTTTTGTTTTGGCTTGGAGTACTCGGTGAGCATTTATGTTTTAGCATCTTTGCATGCGTGTGAGTGTTGCCATGACAGCATGCTTACCATGAGGCTACTTGCTTATGTGATATAACTGCTCGAATGCCTGTGGGTGGAGGTTGAATTACCAAAATTGGAATAATGTATTAAAACTGTGAGTTTCAAGCCCACTAGATAGTGGCAAAACCATCTTTTCTAAAGCCCACTTGAGGGTGGAAAAACTTGCATTTTAGCCTACTTGCGAGTAACAAACCATTTTCAAAACAAACATGCAATGTTTTGTTCCAATTTAGGCGATTTGGTCTATACTTGTTTGTTGTGCGCATAACATAGTAATTCTAAGCTAATAATCGAAATAGGAACTCATAATGCTTTCAAAACAAGATATCACGGTTAGTAGAGGCCGATCTTTGATCGGGCGAGAGGGGGTGCTCATAGATGACCTTCCCCAATCGTACCCAAGTTCCCGAGCCGAGGCAACTTTGGTGATGACGGACACGTGGCCTTTCGCACTGAGTCAGGGTTTCCTAAATTTCCCAAAATAAAATATTTAGGTGGCGACTCTGTATCTGGCAAAGCAGTCCATGTTTGGCACTTCTTTTCTACAAATCTATTTTCCAAAACGATTTGCCGGATTTGGACTCTTTGGTTCAGGTTAAGAACCGTGACAATTTGAGAGGCCTGAACTGTAGCGAGCCCAAAAACGAACAGAACAGGACTCGTCCTCCCGGGGCATTCAGGAACGTCTACACTCACGTAAAGTGAGTCCACACATCTGTCCTAAAGCCTGGATGTAACTAAAACGGGACTGGGGCAGGATTTCCTTGTCACGCCGGGATTCTATCAAAAGTTGAAATTCTTCAATTGTAGGGCATATCTCTTGTCCTCCGAAGTTAAAAACATTTGTAACCGGGTTCCAACATCTAGTCGCGGCATGAAGGAACAGAAAACACAGCGGGGCACGACTTAGCAAGAATAGTACATTTATCCCGAAACCCTGAAAATTTACTTTTTTCGAGCCATCCAAAGTTGCAATCCAATTTGAGAGTTTTCTGATGAAGAATGGATCCATTTGTTGCAAAAACAGAGCTGGAATGAAGAAACTATGAAGTCCCAACTTTTGTAAAAGATAAAGTGCTGAGTGGAAGACAGGAGGTAGCAATCTGGAGGTTCCCTGCACTAGTTGCCGACCGGCCAGTGTTGGTGGCCGACCGGTCACTTTTGTAGCCAACCGCCTAGTGTTAGTGGCCGACAACCTCTGCCTATAGCCGACATAATTCCTATGGCTTTCCTATGTATTGGGAGTGCTGAGAACCTGTGTTTTGTTCTACTCTTGGTGCATTTTGCTGCCTTATTTTAAGAGTTTTGTTGAGTCACTTTTTATGTTGTTTCACTTTGTTTATCGAGTTGTTTTGTTGTTGCTTATCGAGTTATATTGATGTTGTTTTGCTTATCGAGTTGTTGCATTGTTTATTGAGTTGTCGCATTAGTTGTTCATTGAGTTATTTTACTCCATTTGTTATGTGTTGGTCGGTTCATTACCTGATTAAGAAGTTGGCAATACAATGTACAATATTTAATTTTCATCAAATCTCATTTTTGTGTAAGATGGCGCAATGTGATGCTCAGAATGTAAAACACAACATGTTTCATCAAAAAGATGATTTTCATTCCAATCATGGTTTTTTTTTTTTTTTTTTTACAAAAGGGTACAAGTTTTTAAGAAAATAAAATTGTACAATGTGCTAACACTTCTAGCTAAAAGAAAAAAGCACAAAGAGACAAAGCAAAAACATCTAAATCAGTGCCATCCACCTCAGGATCGAGAGGCCCTCTTCATCCTCTTCCTAGGCATGGACTCAGAGCTATCTTCATCAGCGCTGCTATCAGAGGCCCTCGTGTCTAAGCTAGCTGCTGACCCAGCCTCAGCATCATCTCCGTCCTCAGAATCTAAGCCAACATTGCCCTTTCCGTCCTCAGATAACTTTGACTATGGACTCGTTGCCTCCTCGTCCTCACTCATCTCATCATCATCATCGTCCAGAACGAGCTCTAAAGGGCCACTCTCGTCACTGGTGCCCCTAGCTTTTCCTCGGCTGTGAGTCGAAACCTCCTCTCTCTCTCTCTCCCTGCTGTCGGAGGAGGTGCTGATGGTCCTGCTGCAGCTCCCGCTGGAATGTCCGATGTGGCTAGGATTTGAAAAGGGCAGTTTGTCAAATTCATCAGTCGTGGTGTATATCAAATGTAGTGTTTGAATGCAGTGTTTGAATGTAGTGTTTGAGTGCAGTGTTTGAATGTAGTGTTTGAATACAGTGTTTGAGTGTAGTGTTTGAGTGCAGTGTGTCAGATCAGTGTAGTGTGAAATAGATTATGTTCGAAATATTGATGTATACCGGAATCTTGTAGAGGCTGAACAGGTTCATGCGCCTCTGCACCATCTCCGTCAGGGAAGCCACTAGCTTGAGGGCTTGCCCAGTGTACTATATGGGTGCCTGCAAGTGCGTTAAGAAGATCAATGTTCTATAAAGCATAATTGAATTAAAATAAATATGCAAAATGTAAAGTGTGGTACATACTGGAGTCAGGCCTCGAACCCCGACAAGCTCATGCCCGGTTGGTGCGGGCTCAATAGGGATCTGGAAAGCCTCCCCAGTATGTCGGCACTAGGTAAGTGCGGTAGGTAGCTCTGGCCACCTAGTCCTCTGTCTCGCTCTAGAACCTCTCCTTCCATGGGCCCTGGTCGCCCCGACCCCTCTGCCTCTCTCTCCCGCAGCTGGAACCCTCGATCTCTCACCTCCACGGGCGCCAGCTAGAGATGGCATGAGGTATGTCTGGATAAAGGCTATGTAATCACCCTCGACTCGGAAGAAGTCAACGTCCCAGCCTCTGGTGAAATCAATCATCTCCTGCATAGTGTATTTCTCTATGGCTCTCATATATGTTAGAGGCGGCATCGGAACTACTAACTCGGGAAAGCCGATGGTCTGGCATAAGAATTGCTCTCCTACGAACCACACTCGACAAACCGGGCCCTCGAGCAGGAGCCGAAAACAGGAAGCCTCTCGGGCACCAGTGACCTGATCCTTGAATCCCTCAAGCATCGTCACCCAGGGCTGCCAAGTAATCTGTAAATAGAGGGTATGCAGATTGTTAGCTATCATTAATTATTGCAAAATGAGTTAGAATCAAAGGAAAACGGAAATAACATAGAAGCTTGAGTTACCTTAACCGCGGTCATAGTATCGAAGCACCGACAGAAGAAGGGAAAGGACTCCCGGGACCTCCGTTGGCATCTCCCGTCATACCGGTGAGAGTATGGCACGATAGGCGGCATCTCCACCTTTGGCTCTGGGGCAAGTCTCAGAAAGTAGGTGTACACCCATAGCTGCAGAAAGTGAAAGGGCAACAATGAGTATACAATAGATAAATGTATGCAAAGCAGAAAGCAGATTGTGTGTGTACAGTATACAGTGTGTGAGATGTACAGAGAATGCTAAGAAGAAATCACAATAGGAAATGCAAAACATAAAGGTGAAGCATACCTCCTAGGCCCTCCAGTAGCCTCCTATCAGATGCTTGCTCGTGTGAGAGGTGGAGCTCATGTACCCGTATAAGGTAGCCAAGCCAGCGCCGCCCCAATCGTAGAATCGTACACGAGACAGGTCCACCAAGGCGCTCATGAGGTATAGCCTGACAGTGTTTACCCGGTCGGCGAACAGGGTAGTGTCAAACAGGAATATCAGGAAACCTCGGGCATACTGCTCGATCTCCTCTCAGGTCACTGGTGCCGTCCCTCTGTAATGGTCTGCAAACCAAGAGTATCGAACCATCCCTGATCGGGAGATAGGTGAGCGTGTCCCCAGCAGATAAATCTGGGCGGCCTCCTACTCACCCATATCTGTGTCATAAGGGATTGGATGACCCCCCACATCTATGCCGGTGAGCATAGAGAAGTCAAAGGGAGTCATCGTTATCTCCCTAGAGATAGAGAAATGAAAGGAATCGGTGGTATGCCACCACCTCTCTACCAAGGCACCCAGTAGAGGCCAGCTCGCTATGAGGCTTGAGAGCCCCATGCAGAATGAGTTGAAGTCGGCCCCGTCGATGATGTGGCGAACGTCGTCAGGGAGCTCCATGTACCACTTCCTCGCCGATGTGGTCCCATATCCTCTGATGGTGCGTGAATCCCCCTGTGATCAAGACAAACAGATAAAATGTAATCCAAGTAATATAGTGCAAAAGTGTGATTGGGCAATCAATGCAAGATACATTGAGAAAATACAAGAATACAGTGTATACCTGGAGGCGCCATGAGATAAATGTGACTCTGGCTCGTGCAGTAAGAGGTCCTCCGGTGCGCCTCGTGCAAACCCCCTGAACTGACGAATGCTATCGGGCGGTAGCACGTGTATCTCAGGATGATACGTCACCGGGTCAAAAGGTCGAACGCTAGGTGGCAGTGGCTCAAACTCTGGATCCACCTTTATCTCTAGAGAAGCTTCGTCATGTGGGATGTTGTCCGCCATCTCGAGAAAAGATGAGAAAATGGTTAGAAATGGGAAAAATGGGTAAAGAATGCCAAGAGTCAACGAAAGTCATCTCCCAAGAGGAAAAATGGCTGAAAAAGTCAAAGCCTAGGAAAAGGCGCAAAACTCCAGGGTAACTCGAGGGAAACAAGCCTCAAGTGGTGGAAATAAAGAAAGAAGCACCGAAATTGGTTTTCAATCGGCTAAAAATGGAGTAAACTACGAGGGTTTAGCGAAGAAAATGTTCATGGGGTGTTGGAAAATGCATATAATGCTCGAATCGAAGGAGGAAAATGGTCTGGAGTGAGAGGAGTATGATTTTCGGCAATAAAGAAGTGGGGAAATAGGGTTTGGAACCCTATACTTAAACACCTGAGGTGAAATGGCCATTTTGACAATTGTTTTTGGTGCTCGATGGGTGGCCGATCACCTTCCCTGGTGACCGATAGGCCTTTAATGCTCTCCATGTGTGTTTTACTACTGTTTTGTGCCCCTGGTTCTCAAGAAAGCGCAAGGAAAGCTCACTTTTAAGCTCAAAATGTCTCTGCGGAAGCCTTGAACTGTGTCTTCGGCGCATGGCTCATCACTACTCAACATGGGCAAGGTGTATCCTTTTTTTAAACATACTGCAACTCTTCCGAGAGGTAAATCGGAAGTTGCGATTGAGTCGTCTTTATCAAACACGCTTTTGTTGTTGCATAGAATGTGCATGTCTTTGCCGTTGCATGGAACATGCATTTTGTATTGTTGCATAGAACATGCATCCCTATGTTTGCATAGAATATGCATGTTGCATTGAATATGCATTGTTGTTATTTTGCATAGAATATGCATGTTGTGTTGTATTGCATCGTACATGCTCGGGATATGCATGTTGCGTTGTATTGCCTTGTACATGCCCTTACATTCACATAGAAAATGTTCGTACCTGTTGCATCGACCATGCGTTTGCTACTATCGCATAGAATATGATTTACTCTGTCTATTGCATAGAACATGCTCTCGCTGGCGCCGCATAGAATATGTTTCTGTTTTGTTCCTTGCATGTTATGCATAAAACATGCCCCTAACGTTGTGTCATGGTTATTCGTCTTGCGTAGAACATGCATTCTTATTGTATTGTACCTATTAAGTTTCTTTCTTATACAGGCATGATATTGTATATACGGTTCATTCAAAGCTGGGGCAACCTGATGATATTGTATGTACGGTTCATTCAAAGGAACTCCAGGTAAGATCATTCCTATCCCTTAAAACCCTTGTTGGTTAGAAACACTCGGGTACACCTGGTGTATACACCACACCTTGCTTTGGTTAGAAGCGTTAAGACGTGTTCTCGATGTTTATACCACCCCCCCTCCCGAATTAGTAGCATTTGGAACATGTTCCAATGCTTATACCACCGTATTTTGGTTAGAAACATTGGGACGTGTTCCGATGTTTATACCACCCTTTGGTGTTTACACCACTTCCTTTTCCCTTTCACGTGTGGCGCGTTAGGACCTTCTCAGTTATAAACATTCGAGTGCACCCGGTGTTTCCGTCATCCTCTTCTCCTCTCGCGTGTTGCGTGTTAGGACGCTTTGGTTAAAAGCATTCGGACGGGTTCCAATGCTTACACCGCTCTTTGTTTTAGTTACAAATATTTGGACGCGTTTCAATATTTATCACTGCTCTCTTTGGTTCAGAATATTAGGGTGTGTCCCTAGGTTCACACCATCTCTCTCCTCGTGTGTGCCATGCATTAGGATCTTGTTTCACGCCTCGGGTGTGCCCGAGGGTTGTGTTGTTCTTTGCCTTTCCTGCGTGATGTGCAATTAAGCCTGCATAATTTTCTTACATCATTTCTACATGAAATATGGTTTGGTTCATGTTTACTTGCTTATGTATGAGTTTGCTGTAGCATTTCTTTGCATAACATGTGCATATAGATGTTTCATTACAGCCTCACTGCATGATCATAAGTTATGTTCTGCATCGTGCATGTCATTTGTATCTTGCCCCAGAACTACGCTAGTTTGATTCCTTGCAAAGGGATACGTAGGCAGCCTGCGGGTGCAACCGTTCTTTGTTTTGATTGCTTGTTTGTCCAAGTCTTCGGCCTTGTTAAAAATAGGTCGTCTCTGGGCTTTGACATTCACTCCCGTCATTACATGACTTCCGAGTTTTGTCAAAGAGGGGCAACTGTAGACACCTAATTTTTGACCGTCCTCAAGACTTAGACGTCATCGTTTGAACACTCGATCGTTTTGTATGATCGTGTTCGTTTTGAGTGCCTGAAGTTCTCGGCCGAGCGCCTTGCCTTGAGCCTCTAAACTTGTCTATTTTGTGCTTGGTTGTGGACCAAGAACTTATTGTTTCAAGTCTAGAGGAGAGGGTGGCTTGTCGGCCATCCCTACAGTCCATCGGCCATGGTTTGTGCCTGTTGGCCAGCAGTGGTGGCCGGTCGGCCACTAGTGATGGCCGGCGGACATTTTTCTCTTTTTTCAGATATTTTTCTCCTCTTTCATGCTCAAGGCACTTGTGGTTTAAGCCCTCTTTCCATTAGAGGACACTCACCTTTTGGACTAATCAATTAAAGAATGGATTGGTAAGTTAAAATGTATAAACAAAATAAACAAAGTAAAAGAGGCAAGATAAACATCTTTCATGTTGCATTGCATGTGTTCGAATCAGACATTAATTCGAACACGAGAAAAATGGGACGTTTCATACTCAAAGTGATGAAACGTGCCACTTTTCTTGGTCACCATCACCCTTGATCATACATGATAGGATTGTGGTCTTATTGAGTCTTGTTTGTGCACTCATTAAGCTTGTACAAGCTTGGTTCTTTGGCCATCATGCATGAAAATGCTTGGTTGATGGCTTGAGAGCCAAGAGCTACACTCCTTTTAGCTTGTGTGATGATAATGAGGGTAGCAGTACATACACTCCTTGAGAATACACTGATTTGCCTCTGTTTGCTCTCTATTGTAGCAAAAAAGGAAGTTCAGGAAAGGGGTGGCCGACCGGCCACCAGAAGTAGCCGACCGACCACCAATGGTAGCCGAAAGCCACCATTGGTAGCTGACTGACCAGAAATGAAATTTTGCACAAGTGTGTTCTTAAGTTGGAGCAGAGGTGTTCTGGAAGCTAGCAGCGCTGTTGGTGTTCAAGCAAATGCAAACAGAGGCTGTAGAGGCAAGGCGGTGGCATTTTCGGGAGGAAACCAACCACACATGCATTCATCCCTTGTCCCTCGAGGCTGTTTAATTGCTTTATTAGTTAGTTGTAGCTAATTCATTCATGCAAGTGTTGTAATTATTTAATTAATTAATTCGTATTGTAATTAATTAGTTTAATTCGGTTTGTAATAATTAGTTAACTAGAGTAGTTAATTAGTTTTGGTTTATAATAGCTTAGCTTAATTAGCGTAGCTAGTTGCTTAGTTTATTCATTCAGACCCTCCTTCGCGAGGGCGTAATGTTGTAATAAGTGTGCGTGCGTGTGTGCGTGCATGTCTTCCAACCCCACGTCTTTCTCCCTTTTATTTAATCCCTTTCAATGGTTAGATTAGGGATCATTTTCAATTAGCATACCTTATGCTTGCCTGTTTGCATCCATTCATTTGTCTTACATGCACAGAGACTTGGCGCATCATTCAAACTGCATCACAATTCAATACTTACTTGAATATGTGTTTCAAAGCATGCTATCAAAGTGTTGCAAATGCCATATTAGTAGCCGAGCTTATTAATTGCATTGTTGCATGTGTTGCATTAGGCATTTTTGTATAGTTTGGATCATGCATTTTTCTAACTAGTTTTTGTTTTGGCTTGGAATACTCGGTAAGTTTTTATGCTTTAGCATGCTTGCATGAGTGTGATTGCCATATTACCATGTCTCGCATGCTTGCCATGAGGATATGTGTTTAAATGCTATACTACATGAATGCCTGTGGATGAAGGCTTGTTGCTTGAATTGGAACAATTCATCAAATATGTGTTTTAACCCCACTTTGCGAAGTGGCAAAATCATGTTTTTTTAAGCCCATTTGAGGTGGCAAACTCGTGTTTTTAAGCCCACTTGAGGGTGGCAAATTCAAACCATTTTCACAAACAAATGTGAGTTGAGTTGTTCCAATTCTTGCAATTTTAGTTTATACTTGCTTGTGCGCGTCACATAGTAAAGTTAGCTAATAACCCGAATAAGAACGCATAATGTTTATAAAACATTGTATCATGATTAGTAGAGGCCGATCTTTGATCAGGCGAACGGGGGTGCTCATTTCAGGACCTTCCCCTCTTGTACCGAAGTTCCCGAGCCAAGGCAACTTTGGTGATAACAGACACGTGGCCTTTGGCTTAAGTCAGGGTTTCCTAAATTTTCCCGAAATAAAATATTTAGGTGGCGACTCTGTATTTGGCAAAGCAATCTAATTTTGGCAGTATTTGATTTAAAATCGATTTTCCAAAAAAGTTTGCCGGATTTGGACTCTTTGGTGATTATCAGTTTTCCGTTGCACTTGTGAGACTAGATTCAGAACCGCGGGAGTCCGAACTATGAGGCTTTCTTTTCAAACCCTTTTTCGAAAGGCGGGGGTGCAGAAAAAGGCGAGCCCACAGCATGGCCCAAAGCGGACAATATCGATGACATGTGAAAGGTTGGGGCGTTACAAATAGTATTAGAGCCAACTCTCTAGAGTACTGAGTGTGAGCCCCTAGCGACTCTCAGTGCATATGGACGAGCTTGTAAGCTGGCAGGCTACTGAACGGGGACGTGTAGCCTTAAAGATGGTGGATTGTAAGGTCCCGGTGTCCTACATCGGGAATGATGAGGGAGTTCCTGGACTATAAAAGTAAAAATATGGACCCTTATATTGCATCGAGGCCTTTTCCCGGGTGGTGAAATCCCTAACAGAACTCCTCAGTTAAGCGTGCTTAGGCTAGAGTAGTTCTAGAATGGGTGACCAACTAGGAAGAACAAATCCGTGTAGGTGTGGCCCAATATAGATAATATCGATGACATGTGAAGGGCTGGGGCGTTACAAAAATTAGGTGAAATGTAAGTGTATTTTATTTACATTTCACTTATTGTTTTCTTCTTCATTTATAAAACTCTTCCCAAATCTCTCAACCAAACACAATGTAAGTTCAATGACAAATCCACCAATGATGAAAACGTTCCGACTACATTTCGTTTTGGAGCGGGGATTGAAGCTTGTGATGTTATGAGAAGCTCTTATGAGCTCGAACCCGAATGGTTGAAACTCATGGAAGAGATTCACATGATTTGGACCCAAATGGCAATGTTCATCTTGACCCACAGTATATCTAAATGATTTGGTAATTTTTGGAGCATTGACCAAAGATCCTATTTCAACAGTTTAAAATCCATCTAATTTTAAAATGAATTATTTGTACCAATTAGTTTTATATATTTTTAATTGTTACTAAATTTTAAAAAAAAAGTAAAAAATTTAAGATGCAGCCATGTCCTACCATCGCCGAACTATTGTTGGACTTTCGTCTGACAGTCAAAAAACTTGCCATAATGTTCAACAATGCTAGAAAGTTATCAGAGTATCGCCAGAGTGTTCTGAACATCACCGGAAGTCGACAGAATGTCCATAATGTCGTTGGACATCAAGAACATTATTGGACACTCACCAGAACGTCTAGAACATCATCAGGGAGAAAAAAAAGAAGAAAAAAGAGAGAAATTAAAGCGAAAACATAACAAAATTTAATTATATCCTCTCCAACACCACAAAACATGAAAAAAAAAAAAAAAAAAAACTCTTTAGCATATAGAGTAGATAGTTTTCAATTCACAAATTTATAAAAATTAAAATTTTGAATTAATTGCTCATCAAACTATATAAATTTACAGTTTTAAAACTACAAAAATTATTAGTTTGCTTATTTATCAAAACACAATTTCACATTTGCGGCGATGGTGGAGATCTCAAATCAAAAGTTTCTAAGAGATTGTAAATTTTCAATTTGTCAATATTTGCTAAACTTTTTTTTCTTGTTTTAATAGAGAAAAAAAAGGCTACAACCATAGACAAAAGCATAGACGTATCTTCAAAATTATAAAATTTTACAATTTTCACCGCTTGTAACTAAAACTCGAACAATATTTTTTCAGAATTTGAAAATTTTCTCCATTAAAACAGGAAGAGAGAAGTGTGTAGTAAAGAAAAAGAGTAAAAACTGATAGATCAAAGGAGAGAGGCAAACATAGAGAGATGATTGTATTCCGACAACTATTTTTTCATTTAGGTTTAGTCGAATCTGATGTAGATTTATTCATATCTGCTCTAAATTTGAATATTCTGGTGAGTTGTCTTGTGATTTTGGTTAAATTTGAGTCGATCTATATGAAGAACATTGCTAGAAACTCATATCCTTCATTGTCGGTAAAGACGAAGCAAAGAGTCGGTATTTGATGGTTGTCGGTGAATCACAATCGATGGAGGTCACCGATTGCCAGTCACCAATAAGTGTAAAGAAGAAAGAGAAAGAGAAGAATTATGGTGACACTTCACCATCTTCTCTTCTTCTAATGAAATCACTCTGACACCACCACCAGATGCATAATTATAGTACAAAACATCACACATAACCTTTCCAAAAAAAAAAAAAAAGAAGAGAAAAGTAGAATCCATATACTACTTTAATAAAGAGAGAAATAGAGAAAGTTTCCTAGAAAAGGGACATGCAATGCATCTGTGGGAGAGAAAAGTGCATGATATTAGTTCCTATGACTATTGTGGGAAATAACTCATTAGTCTTAGGACTTTTGAGTTTCACAAAAAAAATATATATACATAATATAAAAAATTATGGGACTAAATAGAATATATTTCTTTTAAAGGGGATATGTGGATAATTTGTCTAATTTTTTTAGAATTTTTAACGTTACTTTAGTTACATAATAATTTTTATTTTTATTTTATTTCTTTTTACATTTCAATTCCATTATGTGTTTTAATCATGTGCACTTACCAAATTTTCCCACCAAATATGTTGTCCAAATAGTGTTAAAAAAGATTATATAAAGACAAATAATATTTCTTACATTCTAACCATATCTAGCACACAAAGGACTTGTTTGGGAAGTTGCTATTTTTTAGATTTATTAGTTATTTGACTATTTTAATAGGCTATTTTAGTTTGTGTGTTTGGGAAGATGTGTTGAATTTTTTTTATTTTTTTTTTGAATGGTTGTATTGAAAAAAATGTTCGAAATGATGTTTTCATATGAAATTACCAAGCTACCCTTACATGTGTCCATGTACTGTTCCAACAGAAAAATGAATATTTGTGTGTTGATGTGGCAATGGGTGAATTTGGACGCAACTTTTTATTTATTGAAAAGAATTTAGACCCAGCTTGTAACGGCTAAAATGAGGCAATTTGGCACAAAATTCGAAATCTTTAATTTGTGAATTATAAATAAATTTTAAAAGAACAATAAAAAATAAAAACAAAATTTATAACTTGTAAACAATTGGCATACTACATAGTATATCAACATACCTTCTAACATTATTTTGAACCTTACCCATTATACAAATTAGAAATTTCTAAAAGTTTAACAATTATTAGTAATCATCTGTTAGTACACTAAAGTATACCAATTGTTGCATATACCATTATTTATTTGTTTGATAGTTAACTTGTAATTATAAATAAGAATTAAAAAAAAAAATTGAAAACCTTTTTACAAATTTAACTTTTAATTCTATCAATTACGAGTTCGAGATTATTATAAATTTGGGCAACATTTAAATTTTAATTAAAAAGGTAAAATATCCATACAATTACAAAATTTTCGTAAATTTGAATTGCCCTCACACAATTACAAATACAACTACAATTATTAGTCAATTTACCTAAAACTTTTACGTTTAATTATAAAAATTATGAATTGAAATTAATTCCTAGTTTGTAAGAAATGATCCTTTTAATGTTTAAAAATAATGTTAATTCTTTTCCGGGAAATTATTCAACACTCCCGGAGCAGCACGTGGCCATACTCCAAGCCAATCACCAATTACTTAGGCCGACGTTATTCCCTCATCCCCAACATAAATTGTGGGCCCTTACACCTCTCCGCCAATCAAAATCTTATGGAGCACCACGTGTCTATGCTTCGGGAGTACTGAATAATCACCTTCTTTTCCAGTTAACAGCTCAATCAATAATGTTAATTCTTTTCCTTTTAGCTCGTCCAATTCTGTTCTTGTTTCTTCTTCTTCAAAAACAAAGCAACAATGGAGAAACAACTCGTACGTCCACCACCAGGTCCTCTGGAACTTCCCTTCATAGGAAACTTGCACCCTATGAAGCACAAATACTCTGAAATGGCCCCCGTACGCGTATCGGATACGTATCAGATACGGATACGGGTCCGATACGACATGATACGTATCAGACACGGCAAAAAAGTATCTTATTTTTTAAAAAAAAATTTAAATTTCGGATAGGCTAAGGATACGCGAGGATACGGTCGGGATACTTTCGGGATATGGCGGGGCAAAAAAATAATTTTAAAAACTTATAATGGGGGTCAAACTATAAAATAACAAAAGTAAGAAAAAAAAAAAAAAAAAAAAAAAAAACCAAATAAACCAAACCCTACCTAGTCGCGACAGCAGCAACAAAGGAAGAGAGGAGTCGTCGTCGCCTCTATCAACCAACCAACAGCTCGTTGAACAGTAGCTCGTCGATCGATCAGCTTCGTCCCTCTCTCTCTCTTTCTTCCTTTTGCTCTATCTCTCTCTCCCTCTCGCTCGATCTCACTCTCTCTCTCTCTCTTTCTTCTTCTCCCTCTCGCTCGATCTCTCTGGTCTGGATGGATAGATCTCGTTCGATCTGACTCTCTCTCTCTCTCTCTCTCTCTCTCTCTCTCTCTCTCTCTCTCACAATCGATCTCTCCCTCTCCCTCTATCTCTCGTTCTCTCTTTCGACCTCTGTAGACTGTAGACTTGGATTGTAATGCAACCTGTTTTGGTCCCATTTGATATACATTATTATTATTTTATTAAAGTATACTCCGTAACCTTTTGGCCCATTTGATATTATATATATATATTAGCTTTTATATTTATAAATTTTTTGATTATTAGTTTAAAAGAATTAAAATAAGTTGTAAATGTGTTTGGTTATGAAAAAAGTTGAACCTATTTGGCTAAATAAATTATAATTTACAATTGCAACTAAACATCATAAATTAATTTCTTATAAGCAAATAAATAAACAAATAAACTTATTAATAAATAAATGAACTTTGTAAATTTTCCCCCCATTAATTTGAATTGCATTATGGTTGTTGTTATGGGAGATGCTATATTGTTGAAATTTAATTGAATTGATGACTTTTTTTTTTCTTTTTTTTTTTTTTTTTTTTTCATGCGAAGAGATAACTACATTAATGTTTTGTTTTATTTGTTTACCAAATTTATAAATTTTAGGAAATGAGTTCGGGTACGGGAAGTTTAGGTTCAACAAGTGGTACACCAATTGAAGAAGATGATCATGCTCCTCTTTGGTGTTATGTTACGTTTAGGTTCAACAAGTGGTACACCAATGGAAGAAGATGATCATGCTCCTCTTTGGTGTTATGTTACAAAACTAAAAAAAATGGGAGAATGAGGTGGTAATACCAAGTTTAAATGCAATTACTGTCAAAATGAGTACAAGGGGTCATACTTTAGGGTCAAAGCACATGTGTTAAAACTTTCTGGCAATGGGATTAGAGTGTGCCCCAAAGTGGCTTCGCAACATCTTGCTAAAATGCAAAGGAAAATTGAAGAAGCCAAGAAGATGTTAAAGATGGCTATACCTAAAAAAGTTCCTTTACCACCTTCCACTTGCCAATCTACTTCAACAGGTTCAGGGCCTTTAGCTACTGGAGGATTTAGAATAGAGGGGTATGAGCCAAGAAAAAGAAAGGCTATTGGAACTTCTGCTCTAGAAAAGGCATTCAACCTAGCTATTCGGGAACAATTGCATTCTGAGATTGCTCGAATGTTTTATTAAGCGGGGTTACCTTTTCATTTATCAAGGAACCCATATTATGTTAGTGCTTTTCAATTTGCTGCCAACAATCTAATTCCTGGTTATGTACCACTTGGTTATAACTTGTTAAGGACTACATTGCTTCAAAAGGAAAGGGCTAATGTAGAGAGGTTGTTGGAGCCAACTAGAGCATCATAGAAGGAAAAGGGGTTGAGTATTGTTTCAGATAGATGGATTGATTCTCAAAGAAGGCCCCTTATTAATTTTATGGGAGAATCAGAAGTTGGGGCAGTGTTCTTGGAAGCTGTTAATTGTGAAGATGAGCACAAAGACAAGTTTTTTATTTCCAACTTAATTAGTCAAGCGATTGAAGAAGTTGGGCATTAGAATGTCATTCAAGTCATTACAGATAATGCTCCCGTGTGTAGTGCAGCTGGTTTACTCATTGAAATTAAGTACCCGAATATCTTTTGTACACCATGTGTAGTTCACACACTGAATCTTGCTCATAAGAATATTTGTGCTCCAAAGGAAATAGGGGATACCGCTTTTGCTTATGATGAATGTCACTAGATCACACTTTGTGTTGATGATGTGATGTTTATCAAAAACTTCATCATGAACCATTCCATGCGACTAGCTATTTTCAATGCATTTGTACCCTTGAAGTTTGTTTGCTGTTACAGACACACATTTTGCATCTGCCATTGTCATGCTCAAAAGATTTAAACTTATAAAGCGTGGCCTTCAATCAATGGTTATTAGTGACCAATGGGTTTCTTACAAAGAAGACGATGTTGGGAAAGCAACATCTTTGAAGGAATAATTATTGAATGATGTGTGATGGGATAAGATTGATTATATTTTTTCTTTTACATTGCCTATCTATGAGATGCTTAGGTTTTGTGACACTGACAAACCATGCCTTCACTTAGTCTATGAAATGTGGGGCACCATGATTGAAAAGGTGAAGGCAAGCATCTTTAGGCATGAAGGGAAACTAGATCATGAGGAATCAATCTTTTATTCCGTTGTGCACAATATACTAGTTAAGAGGTGGGCCAAAAGTAACACTCCTCTTCATTGCCTTGCACATTCTTCGAATCCGAGGTAATAACTTAATTCATACTCTTACTAATTAAATTTCTTTGTTGACATTTGTCTTTTAATATGAATAACATAATTTAATTTTGAAACTTTCTAATGTTGTAATCTGGGTATTATAGTTCAACCTGGCTCAATGAAAATCCCAATAGTGTCCCTCCTCATAGGGAAGAAGAAATTTCAAGTATAAGAAACAAGTGCTTCAAGAAATACTTTCCAAATTTAGAGGAGAGAAGGGTTGTAAATGTAAAATATGCCAAGTTTTCAGGAGGTTTGGATATGTTTGGAGATTTTGACTCAAAAATTGATAGAGGAGTGTTGGATCCACTCGTTTGGTGGTTTACACATGGGTGTCCTGCTCATGTGCTTCAATTTTTAGCATTAAAATTACTTGGCCAGCCATGTTCCTTATCATGCTGTGAAAGGAATTTGAGCACCTACTCCTTTATTCACTCCATGAAAAGAAACAAAATCACACCACAACGTGCTGAAGATTTGGTTTTTGTGCACAACAATCTTCGTCTCCTATCAAGGAGAAGTTGACAGTACATTGAAGGAGAAACCAAGTTATGGGATGTTGGTGGAGATGCTTTTGATTCATTAGAGGGTGCAGGCTTACTTGAAATTGTAAGTCTTTCTCTTGATGAACCAAATATGGAAGCTGTGATATTCATTAATGAAGAGGAACAAGTTGAAGCTATTGACCTTGAAGACTCTTAGCTTTATAGGAATCTTTCTTTTTTTATCATGTTGTCTTTTGCTTTAAGTTTTATTTTTATGTATGCTACATTACTAAAAATTGTTGAAGTTTTATTTTTATGTATGATACATTACTAAAAATTGTAAAAATAATATTTTTTATGAACGTATCTCTGCCGTACCCATATCCTAGTTTTTCAAATTTTCTAGTATCACCGTATCCGTATCCGTATCGTATCATACCCGTATCCCGTATCTGTATCTGTGCTTCCTAGCTTGCACTAAATCATTGTTAACTCAGCCCCACAATGTTGTTGCTTATACCAACTCGCTCAAAAACCCGGTCCCCTCATGTCCATTCAACTCGGCTCTGTTTCAACCCTCGTGATCTCTTCTGCGAAAATGGTGAAACACGGCATAAAGACCCCTGACCTCACATTTTCAAGCAGACCGCTCTTGTTCGAACAACGAAAGCTCTATTACAATGGCTTAGATGTGGCGTTCTCACCATACAATGACTCGTGGAGGGAGATAAAAAAGATTTGTGTTCTTCATCTTCTTAGCTCCAAGAGAGTCCAATCTTACTCAGTCGCAAAGACAAGGTTTCAAGGATAGTGAAGAAAATATCCCAACTCACAGATTCGTCAAAGGTAGTTAATTTGAGAGAGATAGTGATGTCTTTTACAATCACTTTGATTTGCAGAGTGGCTTTGGGAAAGGGTACGAGGAAAGTGAAGGGTTTGAAAGAAGTAGATTTCATGGACTTCTTAATGAAGCTCAGGCAATGATGGGAAGCTTCTTTGTTTCTAACTATTTTCCTTTGATGGGTTTGGTTGATATAGTCACTGGAATGAGTGCTAGGCTTGAGAAGAATTTCAAGGAATTGGATTTGTTATATTAAGAACTCATTGATGAATTTCAATCCAAAGAGGACTGAATTCATGCAAGAGGACATCCTTGACATCTTACTTCAACTGAGAAAGGATCAGTTCAGTCTAATTGATCTGACTTTGAATCATATTAAAGCAGTGCTTGCTCATGGTGAGTTGGTGACTAAAAAACTATATATAATTTCTTTTTCATGTGGTTGTAGACTAAAGGCACCACTAAATTCTGTTAGTGGAATCTCATTTTGAACTAAACATTGCTTAAAACTCCAAATTTCCACTTCTTTCAAAACCCCCCCAAAAATTAATAATAATATTTTTACCTTGTAGAATATTTTCACAGGTGGAACTGACACAAGTGCAGAATGAACAAATAAACAGATTTCATTACTAAAAGCTTTCACGACTTAAAACTGCTGCCATCCATTGATTTTAGGCATTTATTTTTTTTAATTACTTATTTATTTTATGTGTAAAATCTAACACAACACATTCTTTTGTAAACATTAATTGTTGAAAAGGGTTCCATATGTTACTATTATTGCATTAATTGTTAATGACAAGCACAACTGCTAAAATGGTTTATGTGGTCGAAGTAAGTTTCTGCAACTTATCATCAAGATTCGCAAATTTTTAAATTATTATTATTATTATTATTATTATTATTATTATTATTATTATTATTATTATTTGTGTGGAATACATAAACAAAATATCACTGACTATAACTAAGCTTCTTCTATATGCTGAGGTTATATATTTAGATTTTTGAAAAACCCATATTTAAGAAGCTTTTGATTATTGCAACTATGAAGAATGGAAAAAAGGATAGAGCTCAAGAAGTTATACTTTGAGTGGTAAAAGATGTTCATAGCAGCTCTATGCGATTGTGAATCCATCAGAGGAAGAAGTGGCCCTTCCTAGTCCATCCATAACAATTAAGCCACCACCAGCGCCTCCTGCGAGGTCAATCTTGCGAGGTCAATCGGTCGATCTTACGATGAGAGAGAGTCGACCTCTTGCGAGGTTGATCGGTCCAGTCTAGATGAAAAACAAGAGAGTGAGAGAGTGAAAGAGTGAGAGACTGATGAGAGAGATGAGAGAGCTGCGCAATAGATGTGTTTTTGAGTTTAGATTAGGGTTTGTTTTGTTTGTTTGGGTATAGATAAAGACTAAAATGAAGATCAACGGTTCAGATTTGAAATATTAAATATATATATATATATATGATAATGCGGGCGGGTGCGGTTCAAACACACAACCCGCCCGCAACCTAAAAATCAGCCAACATTCAAACCGCACCTGACCCTAATGTATTTGTGAAACCACCCATACGTGTGTGGGTCAGATCGGGTAGGGCGGTTTGGACGGGTCGGATAACTCTATGCCCAACCCTAGAGGTGATAAATGAGGCAGTGAGACTATAATCATCCATTCCGCTCTTGCCACGACAAACAATTGACAAGTGCATCATAGATGGGTATGAAATTCAACCCAAAACCCTGGTTTATATACAAGTGCACCAAGCCCGACCGGACGGACGGATGGCTACAGTGGCACGCGCGTGTGGTTATTTTTGGTCCAATGGGTTTAGCTCAATTTGCCCATAACCTCTTCTTTCTACAAACTTGGGGTGCCCCTTAGGGCCCTCCCCAAGTTATAATTCCAAGCTTTATAAGCCCATAAATTCTCTCCCACCAAACCAACGTGGGATAAGCCTTTATTCAAACCTTTAAGGATTTTCCACCAAAACTCTATTTTCATAGAGCACACTTTAGCTTCAATTTCCCATTCACCCGATAATAGTTTTGTACAACCAAATATACCACATGAATCACAATGCGGCATAGAACGCGTTACCACTTTAACCCACCAACTTTGCCACATGGGTCCCACCTAAAAATTAGACCAAAGTTTAGGAAAAATTAGATTTTTCCAGAATTCCAAAAGAAAATGAGAGAATTTGTTTGATTACAAAAATCAAACCAGAAAATAAAATAAAATAAATAAAACAGATTTTTATTTTGTTCCAAAAGCAAAATGAAAATCTGAAACAGAAAAATAATAAAGCAGAAAATAAATTAATTACTTACCAAATTAATATCGAATACTAAAGATTCAAAATCCACTAGTAGATATGTCTTTACTTTGGAAGGCGCTACTATTTCTTGGAAATCCACGAAACAAACATGCATCGCACGATCTACAATGGAATCTGAATTCATTGCTTTAGACAAAGCAGGTGAAGAAACAGAATGGCTTCATCACTTCTTAGAAGATATTCTAATGTGGCCAAAACCTGTGTCAGCTATCTACATTCATTGTGATAGTCAATCTGCAATAGGCAGGGCACAAAATGATATGTATAATGGTAAGTCACGACATATTCGTCGTCAACATAATACCGTAAGGCAATTGCTCTCAAATAGAATAATCTCAATAGATTATATGAAATTTAAAGAGAATATTGTGGATCCGTTAACAAAAGGTTTGACAAAAGAGCAAGTGTATGGTTCATAAAAGGGGATGGGATTAAAGCCTATTACATAAAAGTCATCATAATGGTAACCCTACTTAAATGATTGGAGATCCCAAGAACTAAGTTCCAAGGGATAACTAAGTTATGTATGGTTCAACAGAAATCACCAAGGGATTAAAATTCTCTACCCATTCCTATGATGAGAGTGATATCTGCAACATGTGGTTTGCAGGGGTCTAAGGATAAGTTTTTCTTTTAATGATTACTTATATCTTGATTTAGGCATAAAAATTAAGACGAGTATAAGGAGATACTCACAATAAGAATCATTTATATAAGTGTAGAACTGGGGCCGGTTCTATGAGAATGAAGAGGCTAAATTCTTTAAAAGCACTCATGAAAATTAGGAGCGTTCAAGGCCAAAATGAACACAACCGTGAGAACCACGATGTGTCAGAAGATATTTTGTGTGAAATCTACTGTCTTGGCTTACACAAACGACTGAACAATTCAAGGCATCGTGTTCATTGGTTAGCTAGTAAGTCCGATAGGTTATCACTAGGGAAGGTTCAAGGCCGAAAGCTACCTATACTAATGCAAGATATTTTTGATTTATACGCTTTCGACATATTCTGCATATTGTTGCATTTCCGCTGTCATCAAATTTCATTCATGTGGGGGATTGTTAGAAATGGTATTGGAAATTCTAGATAAAACAGAATTTTTCCTAAACATTGGTTTATTTTTAGGTGGGACCCATGCGCCAAATTTGGTTGGACTAAGTGGTAACGCGTTCTATGCCGCATTGTGATTCACGTGGTATATTTGGTTGTTCAAAACCATTATCGGGTGAATGGGAAATAGAAACCAAAGTGAGCTCCATAGAAATGGAGTTTTTAGTGGAACATTCCTTAAGGTTTGAATAAAGGCTTGTCCCACATTAGTTTGGTGGGAAGAAATTTATGGTTTTATATAGCTTGGAATTATAACTTGGAGAGAGCCCCAAAGGGCACCCTAAGTTTGTAGAAGGGAGAGGTTATGAGCAAATTGGGCTAGACCCATTGGACCCAAAAATAACCACGCACACGCTCGTCGCCGCCGCCATCTGTCCGTTCGGTCAGTCGAGCGGGCTAGACTGGGCTTAGGCGCGGGTGCGTGGTGTGAGGTTGGGTTGGGTTTGTCCAGCCCGATACATGTCTTTTTGGGTCAAGAACATTTTGAATTTTATTTTATTTTATTTTTTGGTAAAATAAAATTTCTATTTCTGTCTAGAATTCAAATTAATTCCGGAAAAAATCTGTCTAGTTTTTGCCTCTACCAAAATTCTGCTTGGTTTTTATCTGTTTGAATTTAAACTGGAACAGTTTCAGTATCTGTTTAAATTCAAACCCAAACAATGCCACATCTGTTCAATTCAAACTGAACAGGTCTGCACCTGTTTAATTCAATCCAAACCGCCACTTTTTCTCCTATAAATAGACAGACCCTCTATTGATTTTTTATTCACAATTTTTGTACTTCTCCTCTGCAATAATTCTCTACATTTTGATGCATTAAATTTCTGTGAAAAAGAGTATAAACACTTAATGTGTTTGTTGTGCAAACAATTTGTAGTGTTGCTATTGTTTGCTATTGATCATTTTATCTTAGGAGATAGACGTCTACATATTCTGAAAGCACTGTGGAGAGGACGAATCTGTCTTAAGGACACAGTGTTAAACACTGAACTTGATCAGAAAATTTGTTCAAGAAAATT